TGGCGTGAAGCTAGGCGATTAGGTGCCGTACGCGAGCGCCGGTTCGAGTCACGCACGCAGTACGTATTTACTATAATTAGACATAGTCTTTACCTTGCCGTTTATTCGGTGTTATTTGCTTACTTTGCAGTTTATAGTGTGCCCCACTGTGTGTCTGTGTGTGTGTGTGTGTGTGTGTGTGTTTTCCATCGACATCTCAAGAATCATACATTGTTTTTTGATGAAACTTTGTGCATAGATGCTCTGGGCCAATGCGCAGATTTGATTAGGTTTTGGTAAAAATCCATGCATATTAATTACTTAATTTGCATGATAATTAACTGATTTTTAGCTGTTCCACTGATATCTAAAAGAACCACTCATTGGATTTTGATGAAACTTGGAACATAGATGCTCCAAACTAATACACAGATTTGATTAGTTTTGGGTAAAAATCTGTGCAATATTAATTACCTAATTTGCATAGCGGTTAATCAATTTTCGGCTTTTCCACTGATATCTCAAGTACTAATCATCACATTTCAATAAAACTTGGTACATAGATGTCATAGGACACTGCACAAACCTGATAGTTTTTAGGGTAATATCAGTAGATATTAATTACCTAATTTGTATAATTAATTGATTAATTTTCATCTTTTGATATTTCAAGTAGTAATCATCACATTTCAATGGAACTTGGTACATAGATGTCATAGGACACTGCACAAACCTGATAGTTTTTAGGGTAATATCAGTAGATATTAATTACCTAATTTGTATAATTAATTGATTAATTTTCATCTTTTGATATTTCAAGTAGTAATCATCACATTTCAATGGAACTTGGTACATAGATGTCATAGGACACTGCACAGACCTGATAGTTTTTAGGGTAATATCAGTAGATATTAATTACCTAATTTGCATAATAAATTAATTTTCAGCTTTTGATATTTCAAGTAGTAATCACATTTCAATGACACTTGGTACATAGTTACTTAAGGACTGTGCAGACCCCTGATTAGTTTTTGGGTATATTTGTGCATATTAATTACCGTATTAGCATAATTAGTAAATTTTCAGCTTTTTGCCTGATATCTCAAGTACTAATCATCATATTTCAATGAGACTTGCTACATAGATCTTCTAGGACTATGCAGAGACCTGATTAGTTTTAGGGTAAATAATTGTGGATATTAATTATCTAATTTGCATTATTACCGGTAGTTAATTGTTTCTATGAATGTTCAACTGATATATAAAGAACCACGAATTGGATTTTAATGAAACTTTTAAAGAGTACTCATCATTACATTTCAATGAATCTAGAACTATGCAGAGACCCAATTAGTTTTTGGTAAATATTTATGCTTATTAATCACCTCATTAACATAATTAATTAACATTGATATCTTGTTTACTGATCATCACATTTGAATAAAATTTGGTAGATAAATGCTCTAGGACAATAGACAGTCCTGATTAATTTTGGGTTAAAATTTGTTCATATTAATTCTCCTAATTAGCATAATAATTCATAATTTTTTTGTTCTGTTCTGTTCATATTAGTTACCCGTTTTACACAATTAGTTTTCAGTTTTTCCATCAATATCTCAAGTACAAGTAATTTTTAATTAATTTTTAATGTGTCTTTAATACTCACAGCACACGGGAGTTCTTTCTAAGCTTTCTTTGATTTAAACTGACATGTGCATCGGCCAGAAAAAAATCATTTTTCTGGGGGTTTTCTGGGGGTATGGGACTTAGATTGCAAATGTATAGCAGTTGTAATCCAATTATTCTGGTGAATGTTTTAATAATCTCATTTCCTGAATATAATTAACGCTGTGATTTCAAATTTCCAGGTCTTGGTTTATCAAAAGATGTGAAACTGACAGTTGATAAAGGAGAATTCTTGCTGAATTTTATCAAAGCTTTGAAGCTAGAGCATTCTGTGATTGTGTCGCCATCGATGAGTGGTACATTTGCCTTGCCATTGCTGATGAAGCACCCGGAAGTATTCCGTGGATATGTACCAGTTGCACCTACTGGAATAGATCTGTTTACTCCAGAGCAGTTTGCCAAAATTGAGGTAAAGTTTAATACCGGGGGTATTACATGTCCATTAGTTTTGTTGATGATGCAAACATTTACTTAGTAAAACAGACACGATGGAAAGTGGGAAAAATAACATTGTTGCAATTCAGTTATTATAATTTTGTTTTTCACTGTCGAACATAGTCCAAAATGGAGATTTCTGTTTTGTGGACTGTCCATCCGTCCATGATTAAACTGATTTTATTTAAATTTCATACAAAAAACAACATTTGAACGTATCATGAACTGTTTGTCAACCACGTCTGCGCCAATTTTTTTTATAAATTTAGTATAAATATCGCATTATGTTTTGTGATTTTATTCAAAATGTAGAACTGGTTTATGTGTGGATTGTGCAGTTTTATTTGTATGATATGAGAATTTATTGCTGTCAAAACTGCACTGAAAAATTCTTTTAAAACGTGTTAATTCTTGTGTTCTTTTTTTATCATCAAAGACTGTATTTACTAAGAATTATATTAAAGTGCCTGTGCAATGCCCACCCTCACGTTTCCCATTTTAGATCTGTGTCCCACTGAAAAGGGTAGTTATTGATTTTTTTGCTGAAAATGATTATTCGTATCCAAGTAAATTTGGAATATTTCTCGTGTTGTAGCCACGCCCCACCTATCCTGAAACGGTTGACTGTTTCCGGATTTCCGTCTCCCGCCGAAAGTGCACCACCAAATGACAAAATGTGAGAGGAAGTCATACCTCTGAGCCGTAATAACACTGGTCGTTCAGTATACTTTTATACGATATACATTTTTTGGTC